GGCCCAGAAGGAGTTGTTGGTGAGATTCCTCAGGATGGTCTCAGCGCAAGGAGGGGAAATGCAAGAGGTTTGGTGGGAGTCAATGGTTGGCAAAACCTAGCACTGAGTGTAGTGTGACCCAGGGGCTAGGAGGCAACAAGGAGGAAGGAGATGTGTTGGTAGCTAGGAAACAAGATGGGAGCAAGCCAAATGATCTATCATTTTAGAGGTGCAGCATCAGATCAGAAGGCTTAATAAAAGGAATTGGAGAAAGCAGCTGGTGATTTTCTTAGAAGGTTGTTAGGGGGATGTTAGAGGGATTTTGAGGTCTTTAAATTTGCAGTCTGTCCTACAAGTTTCTGTGCAGTGCTGCCACTACCTGATCAGTGTCATCTTTTCATAGGCCCAAAGAGCACAGCTGTCATCTGGGAGGGGTGGGCAGAGCTGGGCCATATCTGCAGAAGAAGGTAGCATTAGCAGTCTTTTCTGTTAGTCACAGCTGTTGAAACAGATAATTCCAGCTGCTCTGTGTTTAAGGCAGCTGAAGCACAGAGGGAAGTATCAGGGTGGCATGTACACAGTTCCTTGCGTTAGGGAGCAGACAGGCAGCAAGGGGAAAACAGCTGGAGTGCTTAATTCCAGTTTAATTTCTAGGACATGGTTTAGAAGTGGGCATGGTAGAGTTGGATAACGGTTGAACTTCATGATCTTAAAGGTCTTTTCCAACCGTAACGATTCTAGGATTATGTAGTTTCCTTGAAATTGGGTGAAATCAAATGTCTGCAAAGAGATTGTATTGGGTTTGTGTGGCAGGATTTTGGTACTGGGGGGTGGCTCCTGTGAGAAGCTACTCGACCCACAAGCCATTTGTTATATTTTCTCCGGGTGTAGGAGCGAGCGAGTGTCTGGGTGGTGCTCAGTTGCTGACTGGGCCTAAACCACGACAGAGATCTTATCTGAGAGAAGCTGTGGTGGGAGATATAGGTATATATGTGTGTGTGTGTGCAGTCAGCCCTTGTTAGACAGCAGAGATGCTCTCCCCCACCGCTCTGTGGGAGGGGAGAGGAAGGAAGAGAAAGAAAGGCAGCCGCTCTCATTACCTCAGCTGTAGGAAGAGTTTCAGTTACACCTTACGCCTTCAGAGCCATTGAGGAAAAACCCTAACGATCTGCTTGGTTACAGTGCTTACTTCTTTTTTCCTTTATAACACCCAAAAGAACTGAAAAAAAGTTAAGTGTGCCAAGGCTAAGGACTACCTGAACCTGAGAAGAGATGCTCCCAGGAAAGAGAACAAATCCCTTTGTCTCAGTCCTGCAGTTTCACCAGAGAAGACCAATTGTTCAAGGGTCCAGAGGAAAGCTCAGGGCAGCCCTTTCTGAGCTAAGGGGCAAAAAGTGTGTCCTCCTGTACTGTGAGAAATGACTCTCTGAGTTTCCTGGAGGTTTCCAGAATGCAAAGCCCTTTTAGCAAGCACTCTGCTATTTTGGGCATGGGTTGTGTGCACAGAGGTGAATGTAATTTTCTACTGCCCATTTCTGCTGTAAAATTCAAAGATGCAATCTTCTACTGCCCATTTCTGCTGTAAAATTCAAAGTAGAGGCAGGAGGAGAGGGGAAGAGCAAGGATCTTACAAGCATTCAGGTCACTTCCATACAAGTGTAAGATTGTCTTTTTGCTTGGTTTCTAATCCTTGGTTTCCAGGTTAGTAAGACTTTATTGGCTGTGTACCCTCTCTCTGCCTTTCCCTCCAGTAGAGGAAGCTTTTGCTTGCAAGAGCTTTCCTAAAACGTCTGCATTGCTCTCAGTCCCTCACAAGTTCATCAGGTTAGTAAGACCTTATTGGCTGTGTACCCTCTCTCTGCCTCTCCCTCCAGTAGAGGAACCCATGCTTTTGCTTGCAAGAGCTTTCATAAAACATCTGCATTGCTCTCAGTCCCTCACAAGTTCATTCTCTTCTGTTTGACAGGCTCTAAGTGATCGGTTCAGTGGGGAGATCCCTGATGACCAGATGGCTCACAGCTCTTTTTTTCCAGATGAATATTTCACGTGCTCCTCTGTGTGCCTCAGCTGTGGGTAAGTAGATGAGAAATGCACCTTCGTCCTTCTAGAAGATAGTGCTGCCCTGGTCTGCAGCCATAGAGTGCAAGGTTCCTGTGACATCTTGACACCTGATGTCACCTATCATCAGCCAGTACTTCCAGGCAGAATTTGCTTGAAATTCAGCTCTTAGGTGAATTGGAGAGCTGTTATTGCCATGTCCCAGCTGGATGCATGGTCTTTGCCTACTCTATTATTGTGTATGGCTACAAATCTGTTCTGCCTGTATCTTTTCCCCAGTGCACACAGGACAGAAAGAAAGGAGTGTCTAAAGTTGTCCCCTGAAACTTCCTATGATGATTTTTCCTGCTGTTTTTATTACCTAAACAGCATAAACAGTCCCAAAGCACACATTATCACGGGTCTGGGCTGTGTTCAGTGACTTGATCTAAGTGGAGCCCCAGGTTGGGTTAGCACTTGGCTCATAGCAATCTGGGAAGAGCCCAAAGACTGAGCCTGAGAGGGCAATAGGTGGCAGTCAGTGCTCTGTGGCTGTGAGCAGTCTATAGCAGCTGACAGTATGGCTGATTGTGCTTCTGGAAATGTTTTCTATCAAGTGTGTTACAGTGTTATGTTCCTGCTCTTTTACACTCATAAGAGAATTTCTAGTTGCTCCTTGCAAAGGCTGCAGTGTTGGCTCTGTCTTGGTTGACTTCCAAACTTGGGTAGTCCTTCCTAAAACTCTCTATGAAATTAAAATTGGCTACAGTGATAATTTCCTGCACTGAACTGTTGTGTGGTGCTGCTTTGTACTGTGAAGCAGTTGCTACACCTCCTTCCAGAGAGCCTGCCTTTCAGTGATAAATGATGCCATTGCTGTATGTACTCTTTGCTTTTGCATGCTCAGGTGTGGCTGTAAGAAGAGCATGAACCATGCAAAGGAAGGAGTCCCTCACGAATCCAAAAGTCGATGCAGATATTCTCACCAGTATGATAACAGAGTCTACACTTGCAAGGTGAGTAGTGACACAAGGACAAGGTCTGAAGAATGGAGAAGGAAAGGATGGCCCAATAAATGAGGAATGTCACTGGCGTGTGCCTGTTTTCTTGCATTTTTTCAAAGAGGAGAGGTGCTCATGGCCTTTACAAGAAAAATTGATCCCTATTGAACTTGTGTTTTTGCTTGGAGAGGTCAGCCCATGTGCATGCTATGTGTCATTTGCTAGTTAAATTGTGGACTCAGCTACTCACAACCTGGGTGATGTTGACCTTCTACAAACTTAATGTGGTTACTCTTTTTATTTGCTTCTGCCCATTGCTTGGCATTAGCCAATTTTTCTGAAGGATGTGTGCAAGAGACAGGAAAATGCTTTATGTGGACAAACAGCTGCAAGACCTGGGGTCTGGGATTCTCAGGAATGCAGTTTTAATTGAGCATTTGTGTTACAGGCCTGTTACGAACGAGGGATGGAGGTCAGCGTGGTGCCAAAAACCTCTGCTTCCACTGACTCCCCTTGGCTGGGCCTTGCCAAATATGCCTGGTCAGGGTGAGTACTGCAGCTCAGATCTCTGCTCCCTGTTGCATCTGTACTGCCTGGAGCATTGGACTTGGTTTCTCATGAGGTAACTCATCTTCCTCTTCTGCAGATACGTGATTGAGTGCCCCAATTGTGGGGTGGTGTACCGCAGCCGACAGTACTGGTTTGGCAACCAAGATCCTGTGAACACTGTAGTAAGGACAGAAATCGAGCATGTCTGGCCAGGGGTAAGTCTGCTGGATAAGTATTTGTGTACTTGTGCAGCCACGCACGTGTTTACGTTGGTTCTTCTGGGTGTTGATGGAGAAAATGGATTGGCTTTCAGTAGAGCTGGTCCCTGTCTGTGCTGTTTAAAAGCACCTTTGCAAGGCCATTTTTTGGCTATCTTGAAATGGCTAAGTTCCCAGTTCATGAGTGCTTCGTGTGAATGGTACATCATTAAAACCAGCCCTTGTATTTCAAAGCAGAGCTGGTGAGTTTTTTTTTCTCATGCTTGCCTTCCAGTTTAACAGGAACAGTGGGTCACAGAGCCATCTGCTTCTAAAAGAAATGAGGTTTCCTTGGTTTATTCTCAAATGAATATCCATTTCATTCCAGACTGATGGATTCCTGAAAGACAACAACAATGCAGCCCAGCGTTTGTTGGATGGGATGAATTTCATGGCGCAATCAGTATCTGAACTCAGCCTGGGACCCACAAAAGCTGTGACCTCCTGGTTGACAGACCAGATTGCCCCAGCTTACTGGAGACCCAACTCTCAGATCCTGGTAAGTAGAAGCTGCTGTACAGAAAAGCTTTGCATAGCTAAGACCCCCTTTCCTCACCCTTGATGTAATGTAGGATTTTGCAGAATCCAAATGCTTCTTGGTTTATTGCAGCAAGGCCTTTTCCTACAGTTTTGAGAGAACTGAAATGCTTTCAGCTCTTCCCATTCTTGACTTAGCCAGAGAAAGTATGAACAGAGACTGTTCAGAGACCCTGCTAAAGAGACTCTTTCCTCTCTATTTTTTGTGACCTGCTCTTCCAGCAGTATCACAGAGAATCCTAGCTTGCATGAGCTTGCTCTTCAAAACAAAGATCGACATGTAATGACTGGCTATTGCAGTCGATAGTACTGTTTTTATAGGTGCAAAGATTAAGCTCTGGTTTCATATCAGGTGCAAAAAGCTGGCCTCAAACTAGAAGAGGATTCCCTGTGTCTTGCAGGAAATAGACCCTTCTTCAATGAAAACTGTCTTCTGAATTCTTACCCCCCAAAAAAACAAATACCTGCATTCAGCCCTGCGTGATGACTGTACTAATTTGTGGTTGTGAATGAAGGGATCAGAGCAATCTGTTGGCTTAACCAGTGTACATCTGCCTGTCCTAATCACTTCCCTAGGGTAAAGTTATGGGACTGGTAGCACCCAAGTCTTGGCTGTAACTGTATTTTTCACAATTTCAGTCTGACTCTTCCCATCCTGGGATTCTGCCATTTCTCTATTAAGGAAGATGAAGCTAACAGTTTTTCTTTGTGTCATTCTGGTTAGAATTGTAACAAGTGCAACACACCTTTTAAAGATAACGACACCAAACATCACTGCCGGGCCTGTGGAGAGGGCTTCTGTGATGGCTGTTCTTCCAAGACCCGTCCAGTGCCTGAGCGAGGCTGGGGACCAGCACCGGTGCGCGTGTGTGACAACTGCTATGAGAACAGGGGCATCCAGTTAGGTAATTCTGAGTTGTTTCTGACAGAACTATCCCTGGGCAGCAGTTTGAAGTCTTTGTGCCTGGGTTCTGGATCACAATCGGTCCCTTTGGGCAGTGTTGTTCAAACTGGACTTTGGCACAGAGTTTTTAGTGGGGAAGCTGAAGAGCTTGGTGTCTTTTGGCAGGAAGGTTACCCTTGCAACGAGCTACCAAATATCTGACCCCCTGGCAAATTATTTGCTAATGGGATCTTTACTTTGTTTTCCTGGCACCTGCTGATGGTGTGGAGGGATGCTGCTGTTTCAGCAGACTATTGTACTTTGTCCATTATTGCTGAAATGAAGGTGAAAATTCTGCAATCAAGGATTGGGGATGTGGGAAATAAAGGCTGAGAAGAGGCCCCAAGCTGTCTTTTGGGTTTGTTGCTGGTTTTGCTAATGTAAATTAACTGAAACTTGGCAGAACTTGTGGTGAGCTGTGCTGGGTTCTTTACTCTTGTGTCATGCAGATGTAGCTGAGCTACCCTCAGATGAGGAAGGGGGGACACTTATTGCCAGGAAGGTGGGGGAAGCTGTGCAGAACACTCTTGGAGCAGTGGTGACAGCCATGGACATTCCCTTAGGTGAGCTCTTTTCTTTTCTGATGGATTTTGTGTTGGTTTTTGTTGGTTTTTTTGGTCTAGAGACAATTTTGTTTTCACAGAGCAAAACCTCTGATTAAACTTCAAGAGTTTGTGTGGCAGGCTGGCACTTCTGCTATGACACCACTGTTGTCAGCAGTTCTGCAGCCTGCACCCCTCTCTCTTGATGTTTCCTCTTGCTTTTCAGCACATTGTTTTTGCAGTTCATATCCTTTCTTTTCTCCCTGTTGTGCAAATCTGTGTGCACCAAGCTGTGAGTAATTCGTGCTCCTCTGATGCATCACTGCGGTGACCTGCCAGCTGGAGTTCCCCAAAGACTTGCCAATTAGGAAGCATATTATCAGGTTTGGTTTTTTTTCCAAAAATGCTGAGTGCCTTTTAAGCGTGTTCATGGATAGTGCTGGCACTTGGTACTTCTGCAAGGGAGGGCTGAGAATCTGAAGCTGTCCAGGTTGGTAATGATGAGAACTTAATCAGTAACGTGGTCTTTAACAGTGAGCATAGTGCAGTGAGTGTGCTGCTCCTTCATGTGCTGGATAGCAGCTCAGGTATGGCAGCAAACACTTGGTGTTTGAATCTGTTGTTGGACCTGACCTCCTACTCATTGTGCAGATCATCATTCCACTGCTTTGCCTACAACATGTCCTGCCATCACCCTTGGGGGTGTTTGTGGTCTGACTCAATGAAAGGCAGAGTAAATCCCTTTCTCAGTTCAGACAGTGCAAGCATTTCTGAATGTTTGGTTTGGTGACTGTGGTTTTTTGGCCACGGCTGAAACTCTAGGTAGGGAAAAGCAAGTGTCTCAACCTCTGAAAGAGTCTGGGTAAGGGAAGATGCCACCATTTAAGGAGAAACAATCTGTCCCTTTGAAGAGAGGCAGAACTGAGGAGAATGGCAGAATGGCTTAAATGACAACCTGCTGCACTGAAGCGTTCTGTCAGTAGCTCTTCTTTCCCCTAATGGCAGTGGTGTGACTTGCAGTGTGTGAGTACTTCCTCTGGAGTACATTCTTGACACGCTCATGTTCACAGATGATTTTCTTCTCTCTCTTTCTCACCTCCTCCCCTCCCTCACTTCCTCCCTAGGTCTGGTAAAAGATGCTGCCCGACCTGCATACTGGGTACCAGACCATGAAATCCTGCACTGCCACAACTGCCGGAAGGAATTCAGTATCAAACTCTCCAAACACCACTGTCGGGCCTGTGGCCAGGGATTCTGTGACGAATGCTCACACGACCGCAGAGCGGTTCCCTCTCGTGGATGGGATCACCCAGTCCGAGTTTGCTTTAACTGCAATAAAAAGCCTGGTGACCTTTAATCCCAGGCTCTTCTCCGGATCTTTGCAATTCCTTATGTTCTCAGGGTTACAAATGAAAATATCTGGTCTCCCCTTCACCTCTTAACCTGTTGCAGCCAGAGTGCATGTTTCCAGTTTCTGGCCTCCTCTCGTGTTATATCCATCTTGGAACACTGGGAATGAGCTTAAATTCAGCCTCTAGGTTTTAATTTCAAATTAACTGGGGAAGGGAGGGAGCTCCCTTGTAACTGAGCAAACCAAAATCCAGTGTATTTTATTCCAATTTAAAAAAAATATCTCTATATATATCTATCTATGTATAAATTAGTACATTAAGAATGCAGTTGGCTAATGAAGCTTTGAGTATTCCTAGTTCAAAGGATGGATGGTGGTGGATCAGACTATATTGGATCAGACTTCCAGGCTTCTGGTTCTTCTTTTGGAACGTCTTGCTGATCACGATGTCCTGTGAGGAAGGTTTGGACTCTGTGCTGTCAGGAAATCTCCGATGTTGATGTGTGAATTACACCTGGTAATTCAACCAACCCTACACCTGGAGGTGCCGTTCTGGCCGTGGAAGGTTAAACCCAGATTCATTAGCAAGTTTGTTTGAACTGTGATATGAGCGGTGGTCTTGCAGTGCAAGAGGTGTCGAGTTGAAATAGATCCCCTGGTAGAGACCAGTAGGGCTCTGAAAGATGAAGCAAATCATATGGCACAAGGCAAAGCATTCCGATTTTGCCGTTTCAACTTCAATACCAGATCAAAAGGTAGCAGGGTCTTGCTCTCCCTGACAACGTTCTCATGTACTCAGGTTTTCTTCAAGTTTCTCTGCCAGCTTGTTGCAGTTAAAGGTTTTGTCCAGAGCAGAACAAGAAAACAAGTTATGTAGGCAATTCTGAAATACGAAGTTTGAGTTGTTTGGGTTGTGATGACTTTTCTTCCCCCCCCTGCTTTTTAAGTGATCCTGGAGTCTGTGTAACCTCTGTTCCCAGATGTGGTTGCATAGAAACTGCACAGATTTGACTTTTTTTTTTCTAATAATATGAGCTTACAAATCCACGTGGAAAATGGAAACCTTTCTTCTTTGCTCCTAGCAACTGGCACTCACTGGACTTCATCCTTTTATTAAAGGACTGCAATGAATTCACTGATTTTATTCTCAAAGCCACCACTTAACCTAACTAATACTATCTTATACTGTGGATTTGTGGTTCCAGTTAGAAGAAGGAAGAGACCACTGTGGATTGAACTGCCTCAAATTCTCCCTTCTTGGCTGACATAGACAAGAATTCTTCCAACACATGAGAGTCGTGTCCTCTTGGAATGGCTGGAGTTTGATGCAATGTCCTGGAACTGTGGTATTTCTTCCCCAGCTTATTAAATGTGCTCTTGTGTAGATGAGTGCCCAACACCCCCTTTTAGGACTGTATTATTAAATTAACTGCTATAAAAACCCCTTTATCTTCTGAACGAGCGTACCGACTTTTTCCTTGTTAACGAGTGGTTCTCACTTTGTCTCTGAAAGAACATACAAAGTGATTGCTCCTTCGCAACTCTATCCAGCCTACACGTGGAAACGGACTTGGAAGACGTTCCAGGACACCTTCAGTACCGGCTGAGTCTACTGGGGACTGGCTGATGGTTTTGTAAGCAAAGTCTGCCATAAACTGACAGTTGCCCAAGGGAGGGCACTAGTACAGGTAGAAATCCTCTCTTCAAAGACACTCTGCACATCCAGCATAATTCTGTGCTTCAAAGTATTTTTATTTTTTTAATGGGTGAGCAATGTGTTCTTGGTTTGTAGGCTGTGCCCTGTGTGCTGTTTATGCATGTAGCTTTACTACCATGTTAATGCACAAAGAGAAAGCAGCCATGACATTCCTTGTATAAAATCTTCGGCATCTGTTTCAACAACTTGTCTCATTTTTTCCTTGTCGCAGGCAGAATTAGTACTGGGTCAAAGAGAAAATTATTGTCCAAACATTTTTAGCATATATCCGATTTTTAGTAACTTAGCAACCTGTCAATATGCACAGTCCGTTCTTGATTGAGTATCCTGGAGCTGAGTCTTTCATGCTGTTGCTCAGCAAAGCAAAGTCTTACGTGATGCTTCAACTGCAGCAGGCTTGGTGTTCCTCCTTCTGGACGATTTGGGTTGTTTTCCAAAATGAAAATACAATCTCTAAGGTTTAAGCTCACTGCTTTTTGCACACAAGAGCTTTTCTCTTTTTTCTGATAGTATTGGGTGCTGTGAGTATGCAGTGTAGAGAATATAGTTATTAAATGGATTATTTAAAGGGGATAGATGCCTATTTGAGCGGTCTCCAATGCTATTTGGTATTAACACGTTAGGATTCAATGAACAGAAAGGCTCTGAACGATGTCTTTGGACAGAAAACTCCACAGGAAACTTAAATGAAGAAACTAGAAATCCTGGAACAAAAGAAAATCACTAAAGCAAGTAACACGGGAGCATCTTGTGCTGGGGGTACGACTGTCAGCCTGAAGAAGAGGGATAATCCCAGTAGTAGAAACCTGTGAGAATTTTATTCCTGAACTCTTGAGAGATGCTTCACGTGCAGAGGTATTGGTAGCACCAATAACCAGAGCAAAACCTGTCAGTGGTTAACAACGACCTCGCTGGACCTCTGCAAAGGCCCAAACCTGGAGAGTTTTGTAATGGCAGTGCGAGACAGGTCTGATATGACACTAATGCAACTCCTGTGCAAAAAAGTGGTGGTTATTTACAGGGGCAGGGGTAGGAGGGGACTGTTTTCCAGGAAACTTCCAGAAAATGGCTGTGTATGTTTTACCAGTGACTAATTACCGTGAGATTGCAGTTGGCCAAGGTGAGAGCGTGTCCTTTTCACTGTCCTGTTAATATTTCAGTAGCTAAAATCAGCTCGCTGGGTTGGTAAGATAATGAATACAACTGGCCTGAGATAGGTGGCATGGTAAAAGCATGTTCTGAGTTACAGAATGAAGTTGACTGCTTGATAGAAATCTTCTGCCAGAAAAATGTCAGATTGAGTATTGGCACATCAAGCAGCCTCTGCACCTCTTCCGACTAGGAAATGCTATGAAAAACATGAAGTAAAATAAGAATCATGTGAATTAATTGATGTGCAAAGATATGCCCCAGTGAAAACATAATTCTTGACCCAAAGCACCGCAAAAGCCTAGATTTGTAGAGGAAAAAATGTCTGGTGTGATTTCTCTATTCTGAGGGATTTTTTCCCATTGTGGGTATCTACCCCAATTCATTATAAAGATTCATCTTCAAATAGGTGATGTGGCTTTCCCCTCCTCCTGTGAAGCAGATCAATGTGAGCTTCGTATAGATGCTCACACTTTTAGTTTGACTCCCTACCCAAAACCTTTAGGCCAAACTTGACTTAAACGCGTGCCAGGTTGCACCTGAGACTTGCAGCAGGGGACACAGATGGCAGAGCAGCCCGGCTGTGACACGTAGCTGTTGCTGGGGTAGCAGCAGGCTGTCACACGTAGCTGCTGGCACAAGCAGCAGCGCTTTGCCTTTCACTGCCCCCCACCCCCTTGTTTTTCCTGTTCATTCATCCCCCTGCCCAGCCCCTCCCAGGCGAAGGGGGCTGAGGAATCCTGTGTGTTCCCATCTGTGTGACTTTTGAACTGGACCTTTGGTTGTGTGCTGGAAAACAGAATCAGAATCACAGAATCGCTTGGTTGGAAAAGCCCTCTGAGATCATCACGTCCAACCGCTCCTGTCTACCCGCTAAACCATATCCTTAAGTACCTCATCTACCCGCTCTCATGACAACCCTCGCCAGCTTTTGATGTCAACAAGCGTTTCTTTGTTGAAATAACCACCATGCGAGGTGTCTGCCTGCTGTGGCTGTGCTGAGACGTTCACAAGAGCCTCTGTTGCTTTGGGTATCCTGGGCGCTAACATTGCAGGACTTGGACTTCCCACCTGGTCGTACAGACTTGGATCTTCTTCATCGTTTTGCTTCCAGCGTAAGGAGGTTTAAGTACCACTCCCACACTCTATTTTGCAGCCTCTCATTCTCATGTTTCGTTGTCAACCGACGTTGTCAGTCACTGTAGCTTCACATCTTGTGGCATTGTCCTTGCATTTCATTTATTGCTGATGGCTGCAGTCTCATTTGGCACCAATAGATGTCTTTGCCTGCCAGTAACTTGAGAACAGAGAGTGATTTAGCCAAGGGATAGAAGTGTCTGGTTTGTCATCCGTGTGCTCTCCTCACTTCCTGTGTTAGCTGAGCACTCTTCCTTGGGGAAGCAGTGCTGACATCTCTATGTTGTCAGAGCACAGGGCACGTCACACAATGTTTTTGTCCGTAGTGCAGGCACGTCAACAATGGAATCATGACAATGCCAAAATAAATAAAAACTCACTATGAGGGCTTTCAAAATCCACAGTGTAATGTGACAAAGCTAAACTAGAATGGCAGCCAGTCAGTTATCTTGAGCAAAAATTAAAGTGCATTCAGCTTTTTATTTGTACTGGATATAACTCAAGTGAAAAAATAAAGCAATACAAATGAAACTGATATATATTAAAGTCCTCATGTAGGAAGTGTCTCAGTAGTGGTGGTACAGAAAGTCAAACATCAAGAATGCCTGAAAATTCTGAAACACGCTGACTTCTAACACTTTGAAAAGCTGATTAAATCCTTCTGCTTCTGCTTCAAAGGCAGTTTGACAGCAGCACCGGGGAGAAGCAGTGGTGTATGTACAATAACGTACAGATGATGACTTGTCAGGAAGGCATCAGAGTGCCTCGCAGCTCCCATGGTATTAATAAAACTGCAGAGAGGAAAGAAGTTGTTTGAACAAGAAAAGGCAGGTGATCCTCATTGTATTTTCAGACTTTATCTGAAACGGTTTCTCAACTTTGTGCCTTGGTTTCCATTTTTTGACACATGAAACAAATTTATGAAGCGCTTTAACCACTCAGGTCAAGCATTTTTCAACTCCCAGCCCCTCTCCCCGAAACCTCTGTTTAGGAAGTACTTTGGTAGCACTTGATTCAGCTTACGGTGTATGCAGGATGTGTTGTATATGCGAGGAACTGAAGGTGTGGGGACCAAAGCTGTGTTGTCCACTGCTAGATTGTAACTTCTCTGAAAGCAGCTACTGTTCAGGGACATGTTTGAATTCTCACTTCCTCACAATGAATGCTTAATTTTCCAGTACTGTTAGAGCATGTCCCTATTAAGCTCAAAAATGTAAAAATGCCAGAGTGAAATTGTGACAAATGGATTGTTTTTAACCTCTTAGATTCAGTATTCATCAGGATAATAGAGGAGGAATAGTGAAGCAACGTACTGCAGTAAATCAGGGCCAACAGAAAGACATAACCTGCTTCACCTCAGAAGACCCTAAAGCAAATCCCCTCCCTGCTTTAGACACTTGAAGGTAAAACTGTAGGAGTTTCCATTGCTACCTGCTATGTCTGAGAACCGCGTGTGTGACCTGAAGGGTTTTATGTGAAAAGAGCCTTTCTGATGAGGGCTGAGAGCTGACTGACAGAAGCGGGGTACATGGGACTGCACAAGGGTGAGACTGCAGCATCGGAAACAACTGTGCTGATATGGGACTGGCAGCGAGGAGAGCCTGGTCGGCCGCTCTGAGCCTTGCTCCTGCGAGCAAAAGGGACCAAATGAATTGTGCCTGCTGGATGAGGGATGCTCCAACCTACTCTGGAGTGCAGGTTTGGCTTTTCTCAAGCTTCCTACTAGATTCAGTACTTGCTGAGAAGCTGAGGCAAAGAAATAAGTTATTTTGGTACTGTAGCAAGGGGGAAGAGTGCTGCAGTTCCTTACTTTTTAATTGCCTTAGGGTCCTACCTCTTGCAGCATAATGAAATAGTGTATTTAATGTACTTTAACCACTGCCTGCAGGCTGCTCGCTGTTTGTCACTGAAGCCTCTCTTCTTGCCCTGCTTAACCTCTCCTTTCATACCACTCTCACAGGCTTAATTAGAAGCGTTGGCTGCAAAAGCACTGCTTGGGTGAATGGGTTTGCAGGGACATGCGTGTCCGTTTGGCTCCTGGAAACAACAGAAAGCAAATGAGCATCTTTTGTTTTAGGAGTTTTGCCTACAAGGGAACAAAGAAAAGGAACGCTCTTCAGTTGTGTAAGATGCCTTTCTGCCACAACTCCTGGTTTGTGTTTCTCGTGGTAACTGCTGCACGGTGTTGTTCTTGCAGAAGGGGCCTTACTGGAGTTAAGAGCACTGGAAAGAGTTTAAATGCCAATTTAAATTTCGGATTTAATTCTGGTTTAAGGGAGTTCGTGAGCCTTGTGGTTTGCTACCTGCAAGTGTTTGAACCACACACGTTTACTTCCAAGAGTAGAAGTTTAAAGTATGTTCTAACTCAACTCTGAGCATCAGATGTAACATTAGGAGTTTGCAGTGGGATGGGGTTAGCTACGTTTTTATCTCCTGAACAGACGCTTAGTGGCAGGATGCATTATTAACTAAGTCAATGCAAATGCTTTTGAAAGTTGTGCTGCATGCGTTAATACCTGTGCATGCAACAGAAAATGTCCCAGATTAACATAACTAAACAAGACAAATTGCAGAGTATGTTCTGAAATTGAAAAGCAAAGCAAGCCAGGAATCAGGTCTCTTGGTTATCCAAGGGTAGCAGAGGGATCGGGAAGAGCCTGCGAGGCAAATTTACCATCTGAAAAGCAAGCCAGGAATCAGGTCTCTTGGTCTTCCAAGGGTAGCAGAGGGATTGGGAAGAGCCTGCGAGGCAAATTTACCATCTGAGGAGAACAGGGAACCCCTGGTCTTATGCAGAAGGTCTGTAGAGAGAAGCTGTGAGCATCCACTCTGCTTCGTGTTAGAAAGAAGGCTCTGCAGAGGAATGCCAAGGCCAGATGTACCAAGAGCTGTGAGGAAT